CGTTGTTTGCTTATCGAACAATACAGCACAATACTACAAAATACGAACCATTTTATTTAGTGTATGGGAGGGAAGCCTGATTACCGGTCGAGTTAGAAGTAACTGTGTATCCCACTGAAGAAATTAATGAAGAAAGAACACAGACGGTAATACTCACCAGAATAAAGACACTCATATATGACTTGAAAGAGTCACGTGCGATGGCGTTAGGAAATATCAAACAGTCCCAAGAAAAATAAAAATTTGTTCACGATAAACGGCATACTTTACGTAGCTTCACGATCAGAAATAAGGTCTGACGATACAAAGCGAAGTTGGGTACTCGGAAGGGTAGGAAACTAGAGCCAAAATGGCTAGGACCCTATTGGATACATGAAACATTTAAAAATGTAACATACAAGTTGCAAACCCTAGATGGAAAAGTAGTAGCACAAAGTGTGCATGGCAGCCAGTTGAAACCATATGTTGAACATGAAGTAGAAACCTCATAGTAACAAAGAAAGAAAAAAAAAAAAAAAAAAAAAAAAAAGAGAAAAAATGTATAAAAGAAAGTAAATTTAGCCAAGAACAAAATTTTAGACCTCAAAAAATAAATTCCTCAAAGCGATTTCTTAGACGATGGAAAAATGACTTGATGATATTAAAGCTTACGTACAATGATTAGCCACTGTACTTGAACCCGAAGAAATACTACTCTTAGATTGGGATCAAGTGATGCTTCGCGTTGCAGATCAAGAAGTCTTTGAGGATATCTTTATACCAGAAAGAATAACGTTGGCTGAAAGAATTAGAGAAAGCATATTTATATACTTACAAGATTTGAATTGTGGAAACCCTAAAGAACTCATTCTCCCCTTAAAGATTCTCGGAGAAGATTGGGAAGAAAAACTAACTCACTGTTGTCAAGAAATTATTGACCTAAATCTTAGGTTAAAGACGAATGGCCAATTTTTAGAAGCTTACTATCAATTGGGCAGTTTAATGAACGAGAAGGGATGGAGTG